CCAAAACACCGCATCCCCCCCCCCCCCCCATGAACTGTCCACCACTTCTGTGGGGAATGCAAGCTAGCTGCTTCAGGATAAAAGCATCACTTTTGAATCAGAAGTGTTTTACTATTGACAGCATGGCTGAGCAGGTAGTACAAAATCGCATATTGGAAAAGGTAAATCATTTCCTCGCAGAGCGTTATTTCAGCTGTGGAATAATCTAAGGGTTTCGTTTTCCAAATGGGTTGTCTAGAAGAAATAAAAAAATATTAGTAGTAGGGAAGGTGTTCCTGCAGACTAACTTCATGTTGTAGTTAATTCTGAAAATTATGCAACTGTAAAAAGCAATCAAAACCTCCAACAACATGAGATAACTTTAATTGATCATTTGTTTTGAGAGTGATGCAAGCCTATGAATCAGCAAGAGTTGTGTAACATACTTCATATAGTACTTCTAAAAGGGGAGGCTGTGTTACTATTATTAGCAGAAGTGTAGTTTCATTGCCGGAGCACCAGGCTGGCAGCCAGAAGACCTGTGCTCTAATTCAGGTTCCATCTGTGCCTGCTGTTTTGGGAAAAACAACTCAAGAACTGCTGCCTCAGTTTCCTTTTCTGTAAAATTTAAATTGTGCAAAGGCTGTTGTTTATGAATTCCTCAGTTTTGAGCATGAAGAATTTAAGTCACTAAACGTTAATACCACTTAAGCTAGAGGCCAGTCCAGTTGCCACCAAAATTGAAGGAAAATTTCCCATTGACGTCAGTGGACTTTGAGCAGCCATTCATGGAAATCCTGGAGAATACACGCAAGCCCTAGTCAGGCTTTTGAGACAATAAACATAAGTTGTAAAACTTACGTTTAAAGATCTAGTACGAAAACCAGCTGAACAGGTAACTAGAACTCGAATGCAGCAAACCACGTAGTTTAGCAAATTATTAATGTAGCTGTTCTCTCAGTAGGTTTGAACTTCTTCACCGTCTCCTAAAATAAGCTGATATGTACTTTAAGCTTAATCTTGTCATCCTGCTGCCGTCCATTTGCATAGGGCTAATACAGAAGGACTGCAAATTCAGAGAAGAGAAGGCATTGTATTATTTCTGCATTGGGCTTGTTACTCAAAAATATATCACAAGGGTAGATTAATTGGCAGTTACAGTGATTAACATTACTTCATTTACTCTAAAATAAAATAAACAAGATGGAAACTTATTCAGAAATTTGTGTCTAATGTATGATCTGCTCCCACCTCTCTTTCACAAGTTCTCAGTGAAGACTGTCTACCCTACTCCATGCTGCCACAAATTAGTTGGCTTAGGGGCCAATGTGCTGGTACAGGCTGTCCCAGGAGTGACCCATATTCACAGTTCTGTCCGAAATACCACCCTTTCGCCTGAGGTCCTAAACTAGACGTGGAAAGGGTCAGGCACTTCGGGCAGCATGTGAAGCCCAACACTTGCTTGATGTTTCCTTTCATACCTGCACATGGAAAAGACACTTAGCTTAGTGAGCCACTGCCATACCCACATGGGAGATGGGGACATGCCTATTAGACTCTGGAGAACAAGTAGTCAAGGGGTAGTGGCAAAGTTTACCTGACTTGTACCAGTCTGAACCTCTGAAATACTTGAATTGCTGTGAGTGTGATCTCGGAGACAGCATTTGCTCTGCTTGCAAGATAGCCTTCACAGTGTTGAGGGCCATTCAGTCTAGCCTAACTTCCTTCATGTTGGCGATGCAACAGATGAAACCTCAGTCTTTGAAAAGCTAGGTATGTTTGTGTCACCGCCTCCTTTGTAAGTCTGTCCTGACTAAAGAGCCACCTCTGTTGGCATTTGCAGTGAGTCCTGTATCCCCAAATCTCAAAACTTGAGCTGACATGGAGGCTATGTCTTGGCAATGAGGTTGACTATGGCAAACCTAGTGAGATAATCAGTGTCCTGGAGACACGTCTTTCGAGTGGGTGAAAACCTTGCAGGGTCCCAGAGGTTCACAGTATGTAACTGTGTCCAGGGTTGCATACTGAATGCAATGTGCAGCATGTCATCTCCTTTAGCCTAGTTTTTACCATTCTTGGTTCCTTGGGGAGAGCATTACTTACTTAGTATGCACTAGACTTTATAATGAATTTTTACTGCATTACTATTTCTAAAGAAGTTCAGTGTCGTTGCCTGTCTAGTGGTAGTTTCAGGTTGGTCAGCATTGCTGGCAAATTCCACCAGACAACTTCTAAAGCTGACATAGGTTATAGACTAGTATATAAGCAACCTTATTTATAGGAAAATATACATGTACAGTTCTAGTACACTTAGCAGTTGTTGAAGTGATAACTCCATTACAGAAGGATTATGTATCTGTTAATAAATGTCAACTACAGTATTGAAATTCCTCCAGCAAACAGATGCAAGCCAAGGTTGTTTATTGCTGCAATGGCTGTCTTTGCCGGACCTGTGCTTTGGTGTAGAACAAATCCATTAATTTCCTTTTCCAAAGATGGGTCCCAGTCGTCAGCCCGTACTGTTACAAGTAGTCCTGGTATTCAAAGGGGTCAACTGTGCTGCCTAGTATAATAGGGAGTAGTTCATAAGGTTGTTCTCTGGTAGTTCTCAGAGCAGTTTTATTATGGAGTTAATTAGACCCAAAGGGGTTGACAGGCAGAGCAGGTAAGCTTTTATTGTGATACTTTGTAGTGGTAATAAATATTCTGTTTGATTCTGTCAGATATGGCCAGGATATGGAAGTGCGGCTGTCAAATGAGCAGGAATCCCTGCTATATAACACTAAAAGCGGAGAAAACAAAAATAATGCTAACTGGGTCTTTTATTCTGTTCCAGTGTCGCCCATCCAAAGGCCGAAAGAGAGGTTACTGCTGGTGCGTGGATAAATACGGACAGCCACTTCCTGGGTATGATGGGAAGGGAAAAGATGTCCACTGCTATAACTTGGAAAGCAAATGAGGGCTGGGTGCCAGCTCTTCTGGCATCTGTGCGTGGCCTCTGGACCTCGCAGAGACCTTGGAGGGGCTGGGCAAACACTGTGGACTGTGTTGCGCATGGAGTAACCAAGCGCTGCCTCCTGCGGCGGATGGAGAGTCGCAGCCTCTGCGGACACTGCTGCAGCTGCACCCCGCCACCGACATGCGTTGGGCTTCCTATAGGACGTGTAGGGAGCTCTGAATTCCCACGTAAACCTGCACTATTGATACCCAGAGAGAGAGGCACTTCAGGATGGATTCAGGGAGTCTCCACTGACTTTTTAAAGAATGGCCTGTGACCAATTTGATCCCGAAAGATACTGGTTTTTTATTTTAAAGAATTTATAGATTGTAAGCTTGTAAAAGTATTAAAGAAAAAAAACAAAACAAAATCAAAAAAAACCCACAAGGATTTAAAAGTTAAGCTTTTTTTACAGGTCTGACGGGAAACTTATCGAATAAAGACATGGCTATTTTTTCTGTAAAATATATTATGAATATTCTGTTAGTCTGTATTTAATATAATTGTTTTTTAATAAACTTTATTTAAATGTAACTTGTGAATACCAAATACTACACAATAATTCTAGTGTATACTTCTGTATGCAAAGAGAAAGAAAGGGTATGGAATGATTTACAAATATGTATAGATCCATACGCATACACACTGACCTATTCTAGATAATAGAAATGAATTTGTGGAGTGAAGGAAGTTTTTCCAGAAGAGATTAAGTTTTGTTATTTGAAGTAACTACAAATACCAAGATAATCTTTTTTTTTTTTTTTTAATTATTTTATTTTGTTGGTATTTCTAGTGTACCCATCACTGAATTATGCCACTGGAAAGGATAACAGTTGCACTGAAGCTCTCGGTAAAGCATTCTTCTGTCTGTTCTTCGCTTCAGTTTGTGCAACAGGGCTTACATTTCCTCCGTTTCCTGCTCACACTAATACAGAATATTCATGGACAAAAACTGCCATTACAGTACCACCCTTTCTACTTGCTTATTTATTTTGAAAAGCTGTATCTATTCTGTGTTGTCTTGGTACACTCTACCAAAGCACATACTCTGTATGAGGAACTTCTGTTTAAAACAATGCCGACAAGATGGGGGGGATCGTGGACCTGGGTGTTGAGACCCCCACGCTTCATTTATGCTACACACAATTGTTGCTTGCTTTGACTTTGGTAGAAATGATTTGCCTGTATCTAAGCATATAATAAGAACCATTGGGTTTAAATATTTAAACCAACTGTCTGCCATGATGTTACATGTCTTTTTAATCAGAAGAGAAATGATTCGGTTTTGTTCTGGTATGTGATGCTTTTACATAAGGAAGACTTTGGCAACATTTTTTTTTTGACTGTTTACTGAACTTCATGACAAATTCTGTATGACAATGAAATCTGGATAAGGAAAGGTGGCCTGTGAAATGTAACATCTCTCGGAAAGTAATTGCCATATTTTGTATATGTATTTATTTATATATTTTATATAAATATTTTATATATTT